GTCACAAGGCTGCGCAGTACCCTACAGTTGTCACCAACTTTTGGTCAAGCAGCCGGCAAGAGGCCTCACTTGTGAGAACTTACCATGTGCCAGATGACGCTTCGCCGTCGGCAACTTCTGGAAGGACTCTTCCAAAAGAGCTTGGGTAATTTTTGTTGTCAAGGGCTGCTTGCTTCCAGGTATTTTTTTGCTAGTAGGGCCTTGCTGGGCATTTGAAAGATTTCCGCTGGCGCTTGGCATATGAATCCAACTATGCAGAAGGCCACCCCTGATCAAATATGGAAGTTTCTCACAGCTAGAAGCCTTTCACGCACTCTATGTATAGCGATGTTTGGGACCCGAGGCAGGGTCCGAAATGGTGATAATAGCGTAAGGGCATCCAGCAGCTTTATCCACAGTTACCGTGATTAAGCAGATCACGTGGGAAATCCCGCGCGTCCCTAGCATCCCGAAAAGGTCCTCAAGTTCTCAAACACCCGCATGCGGCACACAAACTTGCTTGCAGCTTCTCGGTTGATGGTTGTACTCAGAGCACAGGGGCCTGTGTCGGTTCTTAAGCAGACAATCAGACAGTAGATCGTGCCAAAAGGGGGTTAGGATTGCCCCGTACTGTCCAAGAATCCTAGATTAGCGACCAACTGACGAAAGCATTGTTATTGTGTTGCTAGGAAGTCCAACCCATCGTCTCCTGATCTCCGGCGCGGGAGTATTCTGGTCTCGGCCTCAAGAACCTTTCTGACTTGCTTTCAGGCGGATCATTGCAGGGTTCCTCACATTATTGATCCTGCTTTTGGGGATAGAGGATAGAGTGAGAACGGGGCTTTCTGGCCTCTGATGCAAGAACACGAACATGCAACCACAACAGAACTACTCGACAGCGGTGAGCGCCAGGGCGCACGTTGCACCTGGATGAAACCTGGGAGCGGCAGCCCTGAAGTGCTTTAGGCGGGGCCTCCGCGATCACCCTCCATGACGCTTCCTGCTGGCGGTGCCCTCCTCTTCTGGACCACCTGCCTAGCCGCTGGAGCCCTAATGCTTCAGGTTTCAACGCAGGACCTGGTCGAGCTGTGATTGCAGTTCAAATATATTTAAGAGGCTTGGCATTGCTGTTGGCCTTCCTTCCTACATGTGATGTAGATGTCAACATGCCAAGGGAGTAGACGCAAGTACAAATTCCAGCAGTGTGCATCTGGCTACAGAAGGCACCGGAGGCACTACAGTCCAGGAATCCGTTGCTGCAGGCATGAGACTTTGCCTTGATCAAGCCAATGTAAGACTTGCGCTTCAACATGCGCGCAACCCGTTTTTGCCTTGCTTACATGCCCTGTAACAAGGTAACAAGTCAAGACCGCTTCCATCTTTCAAGGTAGAGAAGCTTTGCACGAAATTCCCGCAGAAAACGCGTGAAGACCACAACATCACTCCTGCGATCCCAGACGCTGCGCGGGAGTTCACAAAATCCTGGGTTCCATTGTTGCAAGATGTTTGATTTACACGCCTTTGGTTTAAAACAGGTACCGGCAGTCGGGATGCTTGCGGACTATCAGGGACTAGATTTATCGACAGCTGAACGGCTAGGCTGGAAACAGAAAGCTGGCAAGGCTGGTAACAGAAAACCTGCGAACCCGGAAGCAAAATACCGCCTAGGCTGGAGACAGAAAACTCCGGAGGGGCTGGAAACAAAAAAATCTGCAAGGCTGGAAGAGAAAACGGTTTCAAACTTCTGTGAAAAGCTTTTGCTTCGGCTCTTCGGCTCTTGCCTAGGAAGGTTTGCAGCGAGCCTGCAAAGCTCGTCCTCCTGGGGGTGGTGATGCGCCGCAGCCCCACAGGGGTTTGGGACGTCAACATGATCAAGCGTGTTTGGGCTGCCTAGAGCTGCAGAGCGCAGCTGAGGGACGTGGGGCGTCGTTGGTGTCTAAGGTGTCTTAGGGCACTCTTGTCACGACTTCAAGATGGCCAAAGGCACTATGTAGTCAAAAAAGATGTGAGACACGACTCGTATCTCATGCGACTATTCTAGGCATTGGCAGATATCCACTTAAATCTCAAGTGCTTCCCAGACCCGGAAAACACTGTTGAGCTGCCTAGTAAAGCAAATGAAGCTGGTACCTCGGCCTCACCCAAATCTCAATAGGAGCTGACAGAGCTGAAGCACCGGAAGTGCATCGAAAACATGCGAGTTTGTGGTGTTAAAGCCTCGTTCTTCTGGGAAGTCCTGCCCTGATCACAGCAACCACCAGTTTTTTGCATTCATGTTTGGAACTTGGGGTTCCCAGAACATTCCACTACAGAGGTCCCTTGATGCTGGAGCTTCCTGGGATTCCTGGCAGACTTTATGGTCTGTGCTCCTATCTCAATACAAACCCTGTTCCTCTTCATTGCCCATGATGTGCCCCATTCTCGCGGAATCGGTCGGTGCGCATGACCCCAGCAAAACTCCCTAGCCCTGAGCCCTGAGGAGGGCTTTGGGCTGGTACCGATTGAGGTCAGCTGGAGGTCTATCTGAGCTCGCCTTCCAAGAGATCTTTTCGACTCAGTTGGCTGGGCGGCCAAGAAATCCCGTTACCTAGTGTTTTAGGGCTTTCCAAGACGGGCTCAAGGTTTGGGGTATTGATAGGTTCGTGGGCTGCATGCAATTCTTTTTAAAATCATCTTTTTATGTAGGGCTCAAGGAACAGCACGCAGGCAACTGGGCTTCCAGCGCGGTGGAAGGACAGACACCCAGTTGAGGAGACATCTAGATGTTGTACGTTCGGCATATCAATAGGAAGGTCCAAGAATGTAGTTTGCCATTCGCATTATCCCAAGCGCTTGACTTGAAGCCGAAATCTGACTCAAGTACCAGATACAGCCGCAACTGGCAAGAAGCCCCCATGTAGCTGGCCAAGAGAACGAGAGCACTCTTCCAGTGGTTTCGGTACAGTACGGGTCTTGTTCAATATGGCACGCTCGTATCATGAGAGCATACATATCTCACGCAAGCAAGGCGCACGTAAATCCGCCAGAAGTCGGCCGCCACCGTACTGTGTCCTTCGTGGCCCACTACCCTGAGGCTCGGGATTTTAGCTTAGCTGGTTTTGGCGAGTGGTAACATCTGATCTGAGATAGTCTTCCAACGCCCAAGCTCCCTGTGAACCAGGTCTTCCGTGACCTCCGAGTCCACGGCTGGGGTGCTCGAGCCCCATATGACGCGCGGCTAGGGGTGAGCTTGGTGCAGCATAGGCCTAGCAACACACAGGACATCCCACCGTCTCTCTGCACGAGCGTCATTCATTTGCCGAGCTCAGGTTTCGGATGACGACTTCATGCAGTCGATCAGCGACGGGCCCCTTGCGAGCGGTCAGCAGGCACACGGCATCCTGAAGAGCTTTCTGTCGAAATTGTCGGAGAGATCTTCGGCAGCTTGCCGGAGGGGGCTGTGTGATTGGCCCGAACATAGTTTTTGAGCTCCAGACTTGGAAGGAGGGCGACGAGGCAGAGAGGCTGGCCTTCAACAGCAGGGGCCCGGGTAGGTCTATGGATATTTGATGATGCATTCAGCTTTTTTCCTTCCATGTCATTATGATTTTCCAGCATCTGCGTACCGAGACAGTGGATGTTTCTTTGGAGCAGAAAGCCTTTCCATCATACAAACATCAACATCTTGTAAAAGGCTGGGACAAGAAGTTCATCGCCAAGACGGTGCTGCCTCATGAGGTGTGTGCACAACACTGCATACGCAAGCAGAGCACCATGCTGATGCAGTGGTGTACTCACGTTTCATGATGATCACATTTGTGCAGGCCTACGGCCCGCACAACTCAAAGACTTTTAGCCTTAGCGTCCCTGCATGCCGTGCTGCCACTGGAAGAGGGCGAAGGGCTGTCAAGTCCTGACAGATGCCGGCGTCATTTGTAGAAAGACTCTCCAGGAAAGGTTGAATCAGTATGAGTCTCCAAGAGCTTTCCTGTCAGGTCCATTTCTTTGCCGACCACCTGGCAGCCTACCACAGCCACATGCGAGGTGCATGCTCCCCCGAACTGGCCTGACAGGATCTGGAGCCAACAGCTGCCAAGAGCCTGAAGACCTTGATGCCAATCAGTCCGTCATGTCTGCAGTGCTGCAGCCTTGGATAAAAAGCCTTGAAGCTGAGAAAGCATGCGTGAAATCAACGGTTCTGGTCTCTATACACTTGAAGTACTGACACCTTGCCAGCTATTTTTTCATGATGAGCATGGTGTAGCCTTCTGTGAACTTCATCCTATGTTTTAGCGGCTACGCGACCCATACTGCTCGGAGTGAAACATGTCGGCATTGGACGGCGAGCGTGCTCGGGCTTCTTTCGCCAGGGGCCTGGGTGTTTTATTGCAACATGTGCAAGTGTGAGAGGTGATTTCCAAGTCTCCATCCCATGAAAGTGGGTGGAGGTGATACCTGTGATCCCAATAAAGTTTTTCATGAATGCCGCTTTTGTAGAAGCACATGTCATGCGTGCCTGAAGTTGCATGCAACCTCAGGACTCTCGTGAGCTCACCTACGTACTGGAGGGCGGCAAGGAGTACAGATCACAGCTATTTGGGAGGGTCTTTCTTGGAGAAACACTTTGTGTCGTCTGTGGGGCTTGCAGGATGTCGCGGGGCATGACCGAGGAAATGTTGATCAGCCGCTAATAAACTGGGGTAGGACCACCATGGTTTGCTGGTTCGTGCATCCAAGAAAGAGCTGTGCAACAGTTGCTTTGAGCATTGTCCTAGTAGCAGCAACTATCCAGACACTGGGCCCAGCACTGTCGACAGTGGGTCGTCCTTGCATGCAATCACTGTCAATATCAATCGAGTATTGTGAGCAAATGTAGGCGAGCCTTCATGTTGAGAGAGCCAAAGCCTGTGGACCCCAATCTTGTTTGGACGACATCAAGTGTGATCTCACAGCCCTCGTGCAGGCTGACATTGGATGCTCTTTGATGAATTCCACAGACTACATACAAGTTCAAAGCTGCTTTACGATTCCTCCCTTGAGAGGAGAAGACCTTGAGACGGGAGGAGGTGGAAGCTCTTATTGAGTCAGCCGCGGCCTCAGAAGCTAAACATCTTCTGCCTGGCAACGGGCACCTCCTTCTATTAACACATCATTATCGGCACGACTCTATGTCGTTTTCATTTTGCCCTTTTCTAGGAGGATGGGCTATTTCAGCTTGGTGGTTGCGGGGGCTCATTCCGATCTCTAGGATTGTTTGGGCGAGCAGGTCACCCTCACCATGGTTTTGAATTGAAAGCTTCCAGCTCTCTTGGTTTTGCCTTGGCTCTATGAAGTGTCTCTTCTGATTGTATGTCCAAAAGCACCACCAAGGACCCTGTTTTCGACAACTCGGATGTGCATCCTGGCAGCTCTTTCAGCCTTTCGGATGTCAGGACTGCGGATCCAAATCAAACCCCATGGCTAATATCAAATCGCAGCTGTACTCATGGAGCTGCTACGGGTATCAGGCGCCGCTTTTGCGCCTTGGTGGCCAGAGCTTCCTTGTTCTTAGTCCGAGCGCAGATATCATCATCTCAGAACACTTGACCACAGAAACTTATCCTATCACTGATAGCAATCAGCCTTCCACGTTTTTCACCCAGGTATTCCATCAGTCGACCAGAAAGATATCGCAGGGCCATGCAGAAGCAGCGCACCTCGGCAGCCAAGTCAGCAGCCTCAACGCTAAGCTTCTTTGAAAGCCTAGTGAACTTTCTCTCACTGAAACGCTCACTAAGCATGCAACGGAAGAAGATCAACCTTCCCACTTCTTTCCGGGATCTCCGCTGCTGCAAGGCAGGCTTCTGGAGCTTTCGGCGGAGGGGCGGGCGAAGCTTTTGGAGCTGCGCCGCGCAGTGCACGACGACCTGGGTACTGACCTCCAGAGCCTCGGAGGGAGCGGCTTGGGGTTGTCGGATTGGTACTCTGGGAGCCAGGTAGGCGGCAACTGTGAGAATAGGCTGGGTTGGGAATGGCGCAAAATCCAGCCCGTTCGGATGCATGAAGTGCTTTTGTTTCTGGGGCGCGGTGTATCAGACTTTGTCAGATACCCTACATCCCAGTGCTTGGAGCACTAGCAGGGGAGGAGCTATGGGGGATTTTGCGTGTGTGCTATACCTCGTGATCATTGTTGTAGGTATGTTCATCGCCAAATGATGAGGGCTTAGGTTGCAAGAATGGGCAGTCACAAGAGTGATGTGGTTCAATGCATATGTAAGCTACAGGGGGGGCTTCATAGGGATCGTCTGGGAGTGCTACATTAGGTAAGGGATTTTCTGAGGACGCTGATGTTCATCCCCAACATTCGGGCCACCTTCAGCGACGAGCAGCGAGCTCACTGGCTGCCTCGGGCTGAAGCCTGGGAGGTTGTTGGCTGTTACGCCGGCGTCTCAGAGGTAGCTGTAAACAGAGATCGTAGGAAACAAGCAGTTGGCCGACGCCCTGGGACTGATAGCCTGGAGAAGAACAGTTTCAGCAACAATGTGTGGATGCTCGAAGCAAAGCTAAAGCGAGGTGTCGTTGCTTCTACGCATTCTGACCCCCACAACCTTACCTGCTGGCAGCACTGCATGGATAAGCTGCGAAGCTGTGCCCTGCCTTCGCGTACAAGCAAGCGGATGTCTTTCGTGTGTACTCCAGCAAGGTAGTCACGTATTCTTTCCTGCTCCCATGTTTGATTATGAGATACCTCGCACCCTGTCCGACACTGGAAAAAGCGGAAGGAACCTTGCACTGCGTTGCGACATTTCCTGCCTTGTAGCTGCCAACCAACGTACACCACTTTACGCCTGACTTCTCCAAGCTGGACCGCATGAGGCTCAGACAGAGCTTGGCCACGGCTCCAATGTGCGTGGCCTGGAGACCACGGCGACATACGTGGAGGTTCCGCGGGGGCCTGGCTCAGTTTCCGAGGTTATCCAACATTGGATTTTTCTGCTAGATTTCGTGGGGAAAGAAAGGCCTAGCTTGTCAGCTGCTCGTGCACGGGCTCACTTCATGTGCCCGGGAGTTTAAAGCATTTTGGCGAGGTGGCCTCCTCGTTGTTGCTTATTTGCCGCTAGCCATGTGCAGGATGCTGATGAGATCGAGATCCACAGCCCGACCTTGACTAGATGCTCATCAAGAAAGAGAATTCAGTTTAGAGGCAGCCTGACTAAGTTCTCCCCGCTGAGGCACCAAGTGGTGGCCCGGTGCCTTGGGCAGGACGGGGTCAAGGAAATGTTTCGGTATTGTATGCTAGGAAACCGAAAGGCAGAAATGACACTGACAAGTGGTAGAAGAGCTTGACTTCACTTGTGGCTTGTCCGCACAGCTGGCTTGAACGTCCTGCTCGTGGTGCCCCAACTTCTGTTACTGCGAAGTCGTGCTTTGTTGAAGACAGTCATGGCTTTTCAAAGTCAACATGTATTTTGCAGTTTTCTGCTGTCTCTTGCACAGAGTCTTGACTTCCGACACTGTGATGCCTGTCCATACCCCATCCCGTGACTGTCGTACGAGGACGGCGAATCACGCTGTTGTCTATGCCCGCTTGATCGTGAAAGGCAGATGGGTGCAATAGGTTGATGTTTACTGGACTTGCAGCATTCCTGCACCAAGTTTTGGTCGGGCCATGCAGCCGATGGAAGCCTTCCCCTCAACTCCTGCAGTGAACCTTGCAAGCATCCAACATGCCTGAAACACACCCAAAGTCTGTGCACCGGCACGGTCAACAGTACCCAGCGTCCCCTTAACGCTAATGGCTTTCTGCATCCCGGTCGTGGAAGGCAAAGACTTGGGCATCCACAATTTCATGGCACTTTGCCTGAACAGAGGAGGGCATGCAAGCTTCGCAGCTGAGCTAGGGTCTGGGTCAAAGCGTTTGCGTAAAAGTCTCCAGCTGACTCTGCATCTGCCTCAGCAAGCTGAAGATACACTTCGAACTAAACGTTGCAGAATATGCAGAATGAGCCAAGTACGGAGCCACAGATCCCTTGAGCCGAGGTGCAGATCAGAGACATGAAGACGCACGAGCCTCTACCAGGTGTGCAAGTTGGTGATATTGGGCCGAAGATCGGCTACAACAACCAGGCCAGCATCCAGCACATCACAGAGCAGCAGCTCAAACACCAAAGCAACTTCTACCGAGCACAGGGTGAGAGATTTCGTGGCAACCAGCACAACCGTGGTTTTTCTCTGATCTCACGGAGGACAACGGCTTTTGCCGCTTCAGCCGCGTGCGCATCCCTCGGACCAACATGGCCATGAGGCGCCCACAACTTGGAACCAGGGCGCAAGCAGCAAAACCAATGCCTATACTAGCAATGGCAGCAGTAAAGACGGGTGGCAAAGAATGATTGCAAGAACAGTACGTGCTCTACACAACGTAGCAAGAGAATATCCATCAGAGAAAGACATAGAATGCAGAGCTCTTGTGGCAATTGCTGTTGTTGCTTCCATTCGTAGGAGGGTAGACACCTCAAACCCCAACCCGTCAACCCTCTAAAGGTTTGCAACACTGGAGCGCGGGGGCCACTACGCGTCGAAAAAGGAGAGGAGGGCCGCCGGGGACCTGGTAAGGTCTGGATTGGGGTTTGTTGGTAGGGCGGTCGTCAGATACATTGCTGCATTGCTTGCATTTCTTCGGCTTCATATCTTTTTCAAATTTATAATGAGGGAGGTCGAATATGATGATAGAATGTAGATTTGCAAATATATTTCCATTCTTCTTTTGCAGTTTCCCGAGCAGGAACCTCGCGGCGACCAATTGCTGTAATTGGAGAGTAGGACAACAGAAGTGCGCTGAAGGTCATGGTCACAAGCAGCTTGCTCAAGGTGGTGACATGACCCTTAAGCCGGAATCACCTCAACAAGAGCTTTGATATGTCAGTACCCCCAGGACCTGTAGCCAGCCCTTATGTGCATCCTGTCATTATGTTGCCATGATACCCTTTTGTGAACATCGCCGGCCTTTCAAGCTTAGGCCTCCTACTCCGCAATGACAAAGGCAGGGAGCAAAGGCATTACCAGTAGCAATAGTTGTAGCAAAATCGTGGTAGCATTCTAAGTTGGAATGAAATTGTGCAGGTGATTGTTGCTAGTAGTAGCAAGTGTGGAGCGCCAATGATATGAACGCCTGGCGCTTGAGCGTTTGACAGTGAACTATGAACAGGGCAAGTCCATGTAGGGTTGGCTGTTATGAGTACACCGTCAAGCAGGTGCGTGTGGAGATCACCATGGGCAGCGGCCGGGGCCTTGGCATGTTGGAACTCACAGGCTGTCATGCCACCTTCTCTGCTCAAGCTTCTAAGTCGGGAGGAGTAAACCCTCAGGCCGCTACGCAAGCTTTCCTACTATGCTTGAGGAAACGTTGGTATGTCTTGGGGTTGATTAAGCATGATCACTTTGCAAATTGTTTGGTTTTATTTTGTTCGCGAAGGCGTGCGAAGGGGCCGTGAAAGGGTACGCGCGAGACACATTTTCCGAGAAAAGAATGTTGAACATGCCCCATGTGATGATGGTATTAAGTTTTTTTTCGCATACCCGCATACCAGGGCGGTCAACAACAGAAATCCAACCATCCTATCTTCTTTTGCTAGCTTTCACCCCTACTGTGGATGGAGGAAGTGTTGCACTTTAGGATGCCGAAGACAGGGCGGTGTTTCCCCTAGCAATCATACAAGAGAACTTGCATTCCTTTGCCTTGCACTTCCTCCCAGGCCACGTCCTCAGCAAGGCCTGCGCCATCGCCATTCGCTACTCCGCGGTGCGCCACCAGGGCTTCACAGGCCCAGAGCAAGTCTCAATCATCGACATCAAATCGGGAATCACAACGACAATAGGTCCTAGCAGTAGTAGCAGCAGACTACTATGAGAAGAAGAACAAAAAGTGGTTCTGGTGGTAAGCGATTGCCATTCACAGTTCTCGCTGTGGGTGGTGGGAGGGGCAAGAACTGATTCAAGACTTGGGAGGCAAGGGTGATGGTTCGGAGATGTGTGTCCTCGACTACACCATGCAGCAGCAACGTCTGCTGCCCCTGCTGGCCACGTCGTACGCTTTCCACTTCGCACCTGGGCGGCCGGTGGAAGCTGTTTTCGAGTTCGGGTTGGGGCAGATGCCCGATGTCCGAAGGCGGACAACAACATCCTTTGTGATGCCGAGGCACCGCTTTCCTGCCCACTGCGAGGCCTTGAGTTTTCACATCTCCAGCCGTCATACCATGCCTAAAGCAAAGAGTGCAGATCATGCTAAGTTTGAATCTTCTCGTGGATGTCTTATGACTTCCGTACAAGATGGCATATCTACCATTCAAATCTCATGGCCGACCCAAGCCCAGAGCCAAACACATCATGCTCCATTCTGATGTCTTACTCTGTGGTATTTTGCGCCCTTATTTGTATGTTTATTTTGCCGTTGTTATGCTGTTGGGGTCAAAGCTCTCATTTATAACGTGCGCTGAGGCCGGGGCCACCATGCAGGAGCCTGCGAGTCTGCGATGTGTGGGCTTCTCATTCTGTGCCCTTCAGTTTTGGAGGATTTAGAGTGGACATTCACTTGAGTACAGTGGGATATTTAGGGGGGTATGCCAAGATCTTATGTTGCAGAAACACCAAAACAGAACAGGGGTGAGTCTGGCTTACAGTTCACATGCCGAATTGTCAGGAACGCTCACGGCGAAATCCTAGTTGCGTGGGACGTCAGGCGGTATCAGTATGCTGCTGCCGCTCTTCGTTTGTTTCCGTAGTTCCCCCCAACAAAAAAATCCGTAGAGAACGCCGTGTGATAATGGTCGTACAGAGCCGACGGTATTGCACAACCTACCCCATGCAAAGTCCCGAGCGCTTGGTTCTGGCCGCGCGTCGCAAGGTCATACGGACCAAGCCCCTAAACTTCACACTGTGACAGTCAAGGTCCCATACCCCTACAAACAAGGGAGAGTTCTTGCACAATGCCGATCCCGAGGTGGTTGCTTTGAACTCCCAGTCTCTGTGTTACCCTGCGAATACGATCCGCACCCCCAACACTGCCCCAACGCCAACTTTTCTGCATCAGGACCTCCTTGCAAGGGGTGATGCTGAAGCGCTCCACGTGGCGTCATCCGGACTGAAGGCAGGGATGGCCCTACCCAGTGATGCCTTCCTTTTGCTAAGATAGGTCTTGTGTAATGTCTCAGGAAACGCGTAGGCCACTATTTAAGAATCCTGATACAAAGTCCAGTCGATGCTTACATGACAACTGCCTGTCCCTAGAGCTCCCCTGTGCAACTCCCCATCCCCATTCCCTGGCCTTAAGCCCTTACCTGACACCAATTCAGAGGCGCTTTGCAGCCGCATTACCGGAGGCACGGGATGTAAATTGGAAGTCTGAAATCAATACCGAGCACGAATTGAAGCAGGATTGCTGAAGACCTGAAGCTATCTGTCCTCCCTGCGCAGATGGCATCGAGACCTGCCGAAGGGCTTGTGGTGGCCACGGATATTTGGATGCCTCCGGACTTCCGCATCTGCTGGGTGGCTTGCCAGTGTCCTAGATCTCTCCAGAAATCTTTGTAGAAGGATGATCTGCAAAGTAAGTAAGAAGGCTGAGAGGAAGAGCAATAAGAGCAGGAGGAAGGATGACAATGATGCTGCGGAGGATGGTGAGGTTGAGGAAATTCTTCGTGTAGCAAGTAATTAGGGTCTAATCGAAGCTTTCTAGGTCCCTTAACTTGTGCAGACCTGGTGATGAAAGGGGATCTCTCGGCATAACTCCTATAGGCTTTGGCTTGGCTTGGTTGTAGCACTACTGACAATCACAGCAACAGGTGATCGTCAGGTAGTCAGGCACGCCATTAGCATCATTACAAATGATATTCCTGGCAACTCAGGGTTTCCAAATGGACCTGCCGGCACCTTTGCAAAAGATCTGCTGCTTTAGTGGAGGTAGGGGACTGGCCCTTGCGCCCCAGCAAGGTACATGGATTCAGAATGTTACGGTCGAGGGTGAGAACTTCATGATAGCGCAGCAGACTACGCGAGGGTTGCTGACTCTTGGCTCTGCTGTGGCGTGCGTTTCTGAGATAAAGCAAACCTCACTGGAACAAGTTAGTTGGATTCCATCTGTCTTCTTGTCCAACTCGATGGAAGCGTTTTGGCTTCGCCGGGGGACATTTGCCACCTCTGCCCTGTTTGATGTGAAAGTTTCACCTCGACCCCCAAACCAAGCCGGGACAAGGAATCAGCAACCTATGATTAAGCCCAGCTTGACTCCAGAGGAAGCTCGTTTCTTCCTCTCCGTCCCAAGCATCCTTCAATGCGTGTGAAGGCCGCTTGGCCTTCAGTCTTATTGACTTGCCATGGCTGGTCCGAGCAACCTCTCCAACGAAGGACTTAGTGAAGAAATATGTGAAAACCTGGTGGGGTAAAACCAGACCAATCCAAAAAACAATCTAGTTTGCAAGGTGGCCAAGTCAGACTCTCAAGGTGTCACGACTTAAGAGCAGCAGTTAAATATCTTTATCCTGCTAACAGCCTGTTGCTAAACCACTATGGCCAAAGTTTAGGTTTGATCATTGTTTAGTTTATGCTATTGACGCTCGGCTTCTTTGAGGAGAATTGCTTCATGCTACTACTTGCCCATTGAGATTGTCACTTTGAGAAGTTCCCACAGCAGAACTAACGCTGAATGGGCAGTTCGCTGAAAGTCAGAGGGCAGCCTATGTGATCATGATCAGCAAATCATGGACAGTGCACTTTGACCCTCACAATTGCAAACAAAAGATGAATGTGTTCTTCTCACCATGAGCCCGTAATCCTCCACATACCGCAAACGTTCTCCAGCGTGAGGCAGCCACACGGAGTATCTCCGCTCGAGCTCCGCTCAAACTCTGCGCTGTAATGCCAGGAGAGCTAGTGATGTTGGCCGTCCTTCGGGTTCGCAGTTGTAGAGTCTTTTGTTGGGCCATGCTGAGGATTCAGCAAGCATTCAGCTTCAGGGCTCATGGGTTCCAGAGTGGGCAAATTCAAGCTGTCTGTGGGTTGGAGACATCGTTGGCTTCTCAGAATTTTAGAGTTCTAGCTGTTGAAGGAGGTTTCTCAGCTCTAAACTGTCACCAGGACGGTGCAGGATTTTCTTTCCCATCGGCTCCAGAGCGTTACTTGGCCCAGCAAGAGTGTCGTTCCCTTTCCCCTGGCCCGAAGCACGTCTCTACCAGGGCGGTTTTGGTAGCCCACAAGCCAGTCTAACAGAAACTGAGGCGCATTAGCAAGCCATCCCCGGAAGCAAGCAAAACTCCTCTGACACAAGCACAGGTCCAATTTGTGCCAAAATTTTGTTGTCATTCAACATGAGGGGTTCCTTTAGGATAAGGGGTAAGGGATCAACATGCATGCCACGCGACAAAGGGTATGCAACAAGCTGACCTTGAAAGGGTATTCAACAGAGGTTTGACACACAAGGTTTCAGGACAGGAATTCTGTTGTCCAACTTCGGAGATGTGGTCGGTCATGTTCCACTTCCACTGTTGCATTCTAGGTTAGCAACTGCAACAGACTAACTGCAAAAGACTTCTCATGTAGCCTAGTCATGTTGATCCCTGTATCCTCCCCCTCCCTTCCAGCACGGCGACTTGTCATTGCGTAGGCCTAGCAAAACTTGCCCCAGAAAGTGCCTTGCAATGATTGCCGCTGCTACGATGGCTATGTTATGACAAGAGCTCCATTTGTGTTGCTGTCAACATCCTAGTTTTCCTTGCCGCCGCCACCGCCACCCCCACCGCCACCGCCACCGCCACCGCCACCCCCACCGCCACCGTCGTTGCCGCCGCCGCCGCCGCCACCACCACCACCACCAACACCACCACCACCACCACCACCACCACCACCACCACCACCACCACCACCACCACCACCACCACCACTGCTGTTGCTGATACCATTGTTTCTGGTGCTTCTGCTACTGCTATGATTGCTGCGGCTATTATCACGAGTAGTATTACGACTGCCACCTTTAAGGAGGCCTACTGCCAGCGGGCTGCCTGGGCCATGTCTGACCTGCAGAAGCAGCTGCAGGCTGCGCAGGCCTTGACATGATGCTTCCCTCCTCTCTGACTCTTGCTAAAATGGTCTGGTTGGTTGGTACGGATTTCACATGGGTGATCGTCAACGACGTAAACATGCTACATGTCTATCACATACACGTGTGGAATTAGGAGCTGAAAAACTCATCCACTTGCGATGTGAGCAGCCCTGCATGGTTTCGGAAATGCAAGTTCTACAGCATATCCTTGTCACCTGTTGCCGGTTTCCTTGCTCCTGCTGGATGAATCAGCATTGTCACATCATAATCTTCACATTGATTGTCCTTGTCAAGATTGGAGTCTAGATATGACGATGTTGAAGTTACAACATGCTGGATTCTTGTGTCGTACAAGTATGGTTCCACACAAAACTGCCCCAGACCCCGGGTCCTACATCTTCAGCTGCAGGCAGATGGCTCCTCGTATCCTGATGCTTGGAACAGTGTCTGCCCTGACGTGATCCGTGTCTCGGAGGCCTACTGCTTCTTTGCGCCCTGGCAATTGTAAGGCTGGATAAGCCCTTGAACTTCTCGTCAACAGTTGCTCGACGGCCGCCATCCCAAACCATGCTTTAAGAACACGCAAACATGCAGCTGGAAACGCATGTATGTCGACACATTATGCATTGTTTTTGTAGTCCCAGGTGCTGGTGCGCAGCTTTTGGGCTGCCCTCGATTATCTGCGAACGCGGAAGACGGCACCTGCACTAATGGCGGCCCCCTGGACGGAGTCAGGCAGCAACACACACGCAGCAATACAAAGAAGGAGGTAGTCATGCTAGTTGTAGACGAAGTTGTCGGCATAGTGGTCCCGTGTTTACTGTGCAACAAAAGCCAAATAGGAGCACAGAAGAAAGCAACAGCACCAACACCGTCAGAAACTCTTTCCGTTTTAACAACATGTAGAATAGTGCTTAGCAGGTACACTTGAAGTTGGAATGGCAGTCAGATCTTACAGGCGCAAGGATGCTGTTCCGCGCGGGTTGGGTTCAGGGGTGCTGCTTGCTGCTGAGGTTTTGGAGAACTGCTGCCATCTCTTCAGCTTGCAGCCTGGCTACGGACTGCAAAGACATGTGGTTTTGGGTGTTGCTTGTAGGGGATGGGTGTTCCCTACCCAGATTTTGAGATTGAATTGTGAGAGATGCACTTCGATTGATTGCAAGCTGCCATTTTCTAAGTATCCGAGTCTCCCTGCTAGAAGCCATGTCTTTCCCAAGCAGAAGAATTAACAAATCTTGTCAGAGTGTATGCGCTCCTCCAAAATGCTCACTCAGGGTTTCCACCCGAGGTGGTGGATGCAGGAGAGCGTTGGCGACTTTCTGCAGAGCGGCTACCTTACTACCGAGCAGGCCGATAACGATGATGACTTCTGTGAATTTGATTTACATCAGGAATATATAGGGATAATGGAAATGAAAATGGAAACTGCCATATTATAATAGGGTTGACTAGCTCATGATGACAGAACGGATAAAGCAATCTTGGTACAGCAGCATAGGGCTTGTAACCGTCGTATGAGTAATGGAGACAAGCTTAGAAGCACTGGGGACCCTAGACCTTACACCGCTCTGTTGTTTTGGGCTGGTCTTTAGCATCTTGAGGGTTTTGCAAGTTATTAGGGTTCCAGGATTTGGGGATTGGGGTCCTGGTTTGGGAGCTTTCGGTACCATCACTGACAAACGCACAAATGACAGGAATTCTCCTGAGCTTGAGGCAAGCCTCCTTCGGACTGCCGTGAGACAGCTGCTTCCAGCCAGGGGCCTTGGGCACGAGAGATGATGGTTTGCTGTTGCTATTCTCTCTTGATCTGCATGTTTGGCATCATTCCTTGATCTTGCTGCTGCTGACTAAGATTTCATCGTTTTGACTAGCCAGCCATCTTTAAGCTTTATCCTTTGACTTGGTAAACTTAGCCTAGCTGTTCGCTTTACAGCAGCATAGCTCGTGTCATTTGAGTCTCGGAATCTTAACGTCCCACGGGCTGCGGTTTGTGGGATGTTGCGGTCAAAAGCCTGGGGTGTAGGTTCAGGATTTTGGGTTCGTGGCCAGGTAGAAACCAATGGAATACTACTCGTAGTCTTATCTCTACTAGTAGTTATTTAAGGGCTGACGCCGTGCCGCCGACCCCCACGAAAAGGGGGCGGCGACGTCTGACGGCACTGGAGGTGCTTCAGGCAAAGAGTGCTTTTTGCCGGTCCCA